CAAGCACTTCAGAGAGTCACAGAAAATGGTTTTCTAGGATGTATTTTGGAAGGTGGTGCACTGTGAAGAAGCAAGAACAGAATTGATACACACTCAATTGTAAGAGAAGCCCTCTGGCATCTGGTGGACTCAGATATTTAATTTGCCTTAACATGCCTCCTCAGTAGAAGGCTGTGTGGCTGCTTATTCAGGGATTAGGCTTTTATTCTTTCTTGCTCTCCTTGATGTTAAATAAATGCTTCAGAGGCTAGGACTTGTTTTTCTGAATGGAATACTATGCCTCATGGGTGTTTTGGAATGGTTTCACAGTGAATATCTAAATGCATAAAGAGATATACAACCGCAAAAATATTTTTTAAATATCAGTCCTCATCCTGTTGCAGAGAAAAAAAAAAAAAAATCAAGTTCTCACTAGTACAGTAGCTACAAAAAAAAAAAAAAAAAAACAAAAACCCTACAAAATTTTAACAATACCCTGAGGTGATATTCTAATTATGCTATTTATTCTTAGAGTTTGTGTCCAATGAGGCAACAAATGATATATTAAAGTAACACAGAAAATAATAGAAGACATTCATGTATGATAGGGTTATGACCAGGGAAACTCATGTACATTCCTGTAGGACAGGGAAAAACAAGGTGGTTTTTTTTTAGTTTCAACTTTAGTGGTTTTTGCCATTCTTATTTTCACTGCTTCTCCTGTCTTTCTTGCCTAATCTTCTTTACCCTCTTACCCTTCATTCTCAGACTTTCCTTTCCTAATACCTGAAACCAACTCCTTTTCTTTCCTGTCATCAAGGATACCCTTCCTGTCTACGTCCCAGTTCACATAACTTGTATCCATTCTATCCACTGGGATCCCAGGTTTGAGTATAACCTCCCTTATGGGTTGACTGATGAATCTTCAACTTGAAGGACTCACAGAGGTCAGGCTATTCCTCTTTTTTTCCCCATTGTCTTTAACAAATTCATCCAGGTAACTGAATTGCTACAGATTGAGCTAATCTGGGGTTACAAATTTAGGTTTCTCCTCTTGTTCCTTCCTCCTCTGAACCTAATGTGTATGAACTGGTGGTTGTGGTTAGAAGCATCAATGACTTTTCTGCCCTTTTTTTCTGAATAAAGATGTCCCAGAAAGCTGGAAGGACGTGTTGCCCATGGAAGTGGGGAATGCCCCCTACTAGAAGTATTCAAGGCCTGGACAGAGATTAAGCAGCCTGACCATGGTGGCTTGGTTGAACTGGATGATTTTAAAAAGGTCCTTTCTAACTACATTCTGTGAGTCTTTGAGTTTGTGTACTGGTAGACTGATGCTAGATGAGAGAGCAAGTTTTTGGTGGATAAAAGGGTGAAAAGTTGCCATCTGTGTATGTGATTTGAAAGTGTCTGAGAGCACTTTTGCCGCAGAAGGGATCTCTCTCTGTCACCTGCAGGGTAGTGGGAACACTCTGCTGGATCCCTGACAGACAGCTCCAATTATGAGCTGTTTAAATTGAATTTATCCTGTCATCAGTCCTCCAATCTACAGTGGAATATTATGGCTCTCAGGCTGTCATGCCTCCAATTTTCTGAACTTCTTTAGTGAAGGAACAAGTGCTACAGTGTTCTGATGTCTTCAGACCAAATTTGTGCTTTTGATGGTTACTAAAATTATTACTAACCTTTAGCAGACAGTCTTTCATATCAAGGAGATTTTCTTTCATGTTGTTTTAATCTTCAGGTCACATTGCTCAGTAGTAGTACCACCAAGGACCATTTGAGGTAGAAGAGCTTGAATTAAACAAGTTTTTTTAAACCTAAGTGCAGTCACTTTTTAAGTGATAGCCTTTTCACAGGAGTTTTCAAGATGACCAGTGTCATTAACATTGCCTCACCATGTTTTTCTAATGCTCTTTTTAAAAGAGCAAACTTTCATGCAGTCTGTAATACATATATATTTTGAAAGGTTGAAGATGGAATATCAATCCATGAAGCAAAACTTCAGTCTACCAAACTGTTGTAGTGAAATTTACTATTCACATGATGTAGAAGATTAAAGTCCCAATTAAATTTCACTTCAGGACATATGTTAGAAAAATAATTTGCTGAAATCTGCTTTTGATTCCAAACCATTTGAAATACTAACCATTTTAAATTACCATAAGAAATACTTGAAACAACATCTGTCAAATGCACACCAACACACTTAATATGTCCATATTTCCTTGAATCATATGTTTATTTAATTCTAAGAGGTATCTAAAAGATAATTGGTGTTCAACAGTTTTATGTGTAACAGCTGGAAGGCATGCTGAACATTATATTTTTTTCAATGTGCTGATCATTGTTAGATTTGGAAGAAGATAATGCACTGTATAGAGGAGAGAAAGTGTCTGTCACAGAGAAAAAAGCCAGAGGTTCTCTTACTAATTTGTGGACTCAAGGGAGCAGAGCTGTCATATGTGCCTTAAAGATAAGAAGGGAATGAGTTGATAAGGATTACTTGTGACGTCTTCTCCCTCCCTGCCCTCCCTCCCTCCCCCAAGCCCTCTTCCTGCTTCTGTAATTAGAAAAAATTTACAGGGAAACTTTTTGTCTTTGCTTTCTGTAAGTGCTAAAACTGTCTTCAAAGAAACCTACATGCTAACAGGAAAAACAACAGCACCATTTTCATGTGTATGTGAATGCTTCATGCATTCAGCTCTGAAGGTGCCCAAAGCTCTACAAGTTATATATTCAAAACCCCATCAGAATATTTACAATGGCATCATGCAATCCTCTCCAAGGTAGTGATTTTTCAAGGCTTAAATATATATACAGACTGTCGCTTTCAGATAGAAAGTGCTACTGTCCTGTGCCACATAATCTGAAAGAAATTTCCATACTTAATTTGTGATGTGGAAAATGTAAGATATGGTTCACTGCCTTATTGCTACCAAATGCAAATATGCTCTATTCTTACCTTAACAGATGCAAGAAACTCTGCTTGAAAATATACATACAGTGTCTGAATTATTTTGCAACAACTAATAACCACAGCCAAACAGATTTTTCTGAAGTGTGGATCATATAATTTCAGATTAAATATGTTTTATACCTGGATATCTCAGCCCATAGTCACAGAGGGAGCATCAATGTGAAATAAATCCACATTTTTTCCAATGAGATACACAAATTTTGGAATAAATAAAAGTTTTAACGACTTAATTCTCTCCATAACAGCTCAACTTTGCTACTGAATTACTGAACAAACTCAAAACCCTATGCCCATTACAGCAGAATACTACCCAGGAGCATACTTTTCCAGAACAGTATTGAGAATCCAACAATAATGTCTATTAGATCCAGTACATGATGTTACTATGGTATGTCATGCCTTCCGAGAAGAAATAACACCACCACACTAGATCTTGCAAGGCAGCTTTCTCAGCATCACAGCACCCCTGAAACATGTTCTAATTCAAAGAACTGTGCTCTTCAACGAGAAAGAGAGGGTTTCTCAGGTTGCCTTTCCTGAAACATCCCACGCACTCTTGAAATGAAGATGTGATCCATCGACTTTTCAGGATGTGTCCTTATTAGCTGGCAAGTCTGGTAAAAATTGTCTGTACATACACATTCAAATAATTTCTAGATAGTGTGTGTGGGACAATCCATGTGTTGTGGCAATAATTATGTGGTAAAATTTCATTTTATCAAGAGGAAATGAGAATACCTGTTTAATAGATACTGGTATATGAAATGACGTTAGTGGCAATCATATCCTCCCAGCATATTGACCAAAGGCTTTTTTTTGTCTTCTCAAGTGTCATTTTAAAAGTGAATACTTCAGCCAAGGTTTTATTATTTGCTTTAATTTTATTACATTGACTTCAAAATCATCATAACCATTTTATAATCAAAAAAAAGGTAATAAATTCCTTGCCCAGGTAAATTTTAAAACTTAGATAGTGTTCATAGAGAAAAGAGAAATAAAATTTACTTCATTACATAAAGCTTGGCAGCTGTTAGATGCTGTAATGAAGGTATAAGAGTTCAGATACAGTTAAGACAGATAAATAAACTGAATATTGTAATGAACAAATTTATCCAGATAGTATACAAAGATATCTTCACTGTGAGATCTCAACTGTGACTAACAAATGACTGTTTAGCTGCTTTCATTAAGTCAAATCTCAATCAATTTATGAGAGAGGTATTTGCAAAATGGATTCTGATGTTAAAGTGAAGTGACACACTGCAAGGAAAGAAAGATCAGTAGGGATCTTTTTGTCAGTATGCAAGGATTTTCTTGCTGTATTTAGAGCTGTTTGGCAAATATAGAAATATATAGCTACCAGTAACCTGAATGCTGAAAAGAACTGGGAGTAAGTAACTGGTTGCAGCCACATAAGAAGTCTGTTATGATAGTAAAGTGTTAAATTATGCAAGCAGTACAGAAATAGGGAAAAATCAGGTTGATAGGAGCTCTGAATGACTGAACAGATATCAAATTATCTTCAGACTAGTGAACCAAGATATCAAATTCTCCTCAGAGACTTGCAGCCTGGGGAGGCAAACAGTCCTGTCCTGGTATTCTGCTTGTTTCAAGCACTTTGGAAGCTGACACCAAGATGGTCACCACTACCTCTCTCAGCTCACAGCTGCCAATTGAGAAGGTCTCAAGTCTCAATGTCTTGCTCTCCTATTCAGTTTTTAATGTCTCAGAGAAATAATCTAGGTTCCCAGTCCACAAAGTAGAGAAATTTCCCTCCCAAATCTTCCCAATGTTCCTCCTTAAAAAAGCAAAGGCGCACAGGCTGGCCATTTTCCAAGAAGAACAACTGTAAATAGAATCAGTAATTAATGAATTATTTTTTCTATACCTCCTAATGGGAAAGATAAAAAGTCAGATGTGTTCCCCCCTTGAATGGACACTAAGGTGCAGATGAGAGAGCAAGAGCAAGAAGCAAGTCAGCACCTTGGCCTTTCCTCGTGGGAGGAGGAGCACTAGGATCCCTAGCCCACACTATCTAGCAATAGGCAGAAGCCTGCGGGCCCCAAGGCAGCAGCAGGTTGAAACAGGCTAGTGGCAGGGAGAATATCAGACCAAAACAGGCTTGTTGGGTGGGCAGGATAGTGAGGCTGCTGGAGAGAAAAGAAACAGCAAATAGCTCAGAAGAGTCTGAAGGAGATAGAGAATCACATACTACTCTTCAAAAAGATTTCAGTGGAGCTCCAAGAGACAGAAAGGCAGGTGGGTCACAGACACACAGAAGGGGAAAAAATATCGTTTTATAAGAAGTAGAGGTGTTAGGAAGGTGGGTGGAGAGTTGCAAAAACATCATTTCCCTCCCTCCCATTTTCTCTAAGGGTGTTTGTCTCTGAGCTTTTCCTCTCACTTCTCCTCCGCACAGCAAACAGCCAAGCTGGAAAGAAGAGATTGTCTCCAAACTCAGAAGAGTGCATGGGCACAGGAGACTGATAGCAGCCAAGTAAACAGAGTTCACAACTGTGGTAGCCGCAGGAGCAAAGACTGCTCAGTGACAAGCATGAGCACTGTTCCACAGGTAAGAAAATGGGTCTGTCTTGCAATCTGCTGAGGGACCTTCGTTGCACACCTTTCTTTTCCTTCCCCTTTCATAGCTACACTGCTTATTGCCTTGGGGGACTGAGGTAGTTGAGTTTTTGACAGTTTGTATCTAGAATGGTCTTGTCCGGGTCTCAGAATTAATGATTTGGGATATGGTGTGATGATTTAGGGGTTCTTGCCCTTCCCGTTAGTCACCCTAATGGCCATTCTGAGAACTGTTTGAAGCACTGACCAACAAGTAATAATAATAATAGTAAAACTATTAGTAGTTGTAATAATGATAATAACAACAATAATAAAAATAATAATGACGTCTTTTATTCTATCTCCATTTTTTTTTGCAAGGTATGATAAAAAAGTACTTACACTGAAATGTGCAGTTCCCCCCCACAAATAGTTGTGGATAAGCAAGGCATAGTTTTTGGAATGTGAGAATGACATGGTGAGCCTAATTGCTTCCCATGTAGTGTGGTGTCCTTTTTCTGCTTTGATGTCTTATGTAAATAGCTAGCAAAGTCTTAATTGGATATTTACAGACAAATTGCACTGAACTGAACTGTTAGCTCAAGGTTGCTAAAAAAGTACAAAACATTCAAGGGCAACAGAGATAAGTGAAGTGTTTTATGTTACTAAATAATAAAAACACTGAAATGTGTGTTGTTCTTACATTGAGATCTGTTCAGTGTGACTGTGACTGTAATGCAAACAGTCACTTCTATTTATCTTGTCTGCATTTTTATAGTTGAAGAATTTGCAGAAATGTTTGTTTTGTATATCCATTCCCAAATTTCTGTGTGATGAAGATCAAACCATAATCATAATTTTAGTTGTTTGCCATGGTTTTGCTTTGCAATTTTAGCACTCCAGAATACAATTCAGCAATATTTCTGTTTCATATTTCATGTGAGCAGGTATTCTATTTCAAACACAGGCTACTTATTTCTCAAGTGGCATTTAATGGGTTCCATTTATGTGCTTAAATAATTTGCTGACAAAAGATAAACTTTAGAAAATTAAGATTTTTGTGATATTGGGGTATTAGTCTGAAAATATGCCATCCATGTGAGTAATGTGGTAAACATGATTTGGGTAAAGCCAAAGTCAGTAATTCATGAATAATTTACTGGCTGAAAAACAATACTCCTAACATTACCTGGTAAATAGTTATGAAAAATAAGTTCAGCTCTCTCTTCCTTTGATCTCTTTTTTAAAATTTCTTTTATTTTCATGAAACTAGATGCTCTTTTTCCTGTAATATAATTTAAAACTGTGAAAATTGAAGGTGAGAAAGAATTAGGTAGAGTGTCTTTAACCTCCCTCACAATTCAGGAATAGCTCACAAACAGAAAGAAGGAGATGCTCAAGGAAAATCAAATTCTTTGGCTGATTTAGTTGTATCAAACAGTTCTTGCTTTAGTGATAACAGTACTTGTCATGCTATCCCAAGTCATGCTTGTGTTTGAGTTAGATGATACACATAGTACATTAATTTAAAGTAATAAATTTTTATAATTTACAGCTATTAGAATTCATCTTTTAATGATTTTACAGCCATTTGTTCTCACTTAGCTATAGTGAAGCCATTTAAATTTGAGCATTTGCACATGCTTAAAAACATGAAAGAACTGAAACTGTACTGAAAATTGCATTCATCTTTATGCTAATACTGATTATTCTTCTCACCCATAAGTGAGGCCTATAAGGAAAAACCCTGTCAGAGGTTGAATCTTTTTATCCTTTTCCACTGGCTTGTTCAAACCATTCACTTGTATCTTTGTATGGAGCCAGCTGGATGAAGCAACCCAGCCTCAAAACATACCACAATAAAGTGCTGCTGCTTCCTGTAAGCTATGTAATGTTCCTGTATCCTGTGCTCTGGGAGTGTTGTATGCCATCTCTGGGTCCATCTAATTACATCCACACCTCTGCCTTGCCCAAGAATAGCTGGCTTAGGAAGAGGTCTCTATTTTAGTGCCTGTGAACCACTTAATCCATTGTGGCACAAAAATGAAATTCTGGTCAGGATCTGTGTAAGAGTACTGAAAAAGCAGTATTTGTTTGTCTAGATTTGTTTAAGCTGTTGTCATGAAAAGACATAAAGGAGAACTAAATATGACTGCCCTCCTCTTTTTTCTCTGTTTATGTAGGTCCACAGTTTCTCTCGAATCCCGCCCCATTTACAGAAGCAAGGTTAGAAAGGCATTTATTATGGAAGATGAAGCATTTCAAGAACAATTTTTATGCTTATGGTTCACATACAGACCATAATCCTGTTTCTATGTAGAGGTCCACAACCAGTTCCCACTCCCCTGTCATTTCTTTTGTGCTATGTTATTATTTGGGCATGCTGCTCTCAGCCAAGTACTTCTCAAATTGTTTCTTAATGGAGATTTGAGGGGGGCAGTGCTCTTTCTCTTAGAGATTTTAAAAAATCTGTTATTTGATGCATTTTGCATTTCAAAATAAACATCATGCATGGACCTGAAATAGACTGACTGTTAACCAACAATTCATAAGAAATTGCACCAGCAGCCTTGAAATGCCAGTTTCTTGTTAGTATCTCCACAGTCATGCCATTTATGAGTCAAAAGAGAGAAACAGATGTCTTCTGATGACATGAAACCAAATAATTGCAAAATTATTATTATTTCATGGTAGGAGTAGGCCAGATTTTCCATGTGAAAAACAAGAAGTTTATTGCAGCAGAGAAGTCAGGAGAATTATGGATGTAAATCATTCACTCTTTCCTAAATGGTCAGAGAAGAAGGCTTGCATGCCAAAGAACAGTTTTTAGATTTCCTTTATCAGCTAAACTAATTTTCTTTCACTCAGTCCCCTGCCATACTGTTGTGACACTTTCGCTCTTACTTCCAGGAGTAAAACAAGTGTTTTGCTATGGGGACTTATGAAAGGAATTTGGAGTTCCTCCTTTGTAGTTTGTACACTGTACTTTGCCAGTATGATGATGTTCTGTGTCTAGCATCTTCTAATGTCACTTGTACATACTTGCTCTCCATTTGGTTATTCTGTATCCTTCCTGAAAAAGTCAGGAGAATAGGATTTTAAAGGAGAAAAGCATTAGGCATTCAACTTTTGTTAGTAATTTCCAGGAGTCAATTAAGCCTTTGAGAGGCTTTTTTTTGAGACTGAATAAAATTCATGTTTGAAAGATTATAAAGTTATGAGGTCTGTTTTTCTATTGCTTATTTTTGTTTTCCCTTCTATTAATGTTTTTGTGCAGAAGTTGTACATAGTATATTAGTCCAGATGATTAAGAGCAGACTCATTCATTTCCTTAATGCTCCCTTAGGTGAAGGGGCATGTACTGTGACATACTTAATTCCTGTAAGATTTTGCTCCATTTCTTGTGATTTTTGTCAAGATCCATGTTTCCTGGTTTTGTGGCAAAGAACATAGCTACCGAGAGTAGTGACAAATGCAGTTTAGCTGCTGCATGTAAGGGAGCAGCCAAGGCAGAAGAGAGATGACAATCTGAAACCTGAGACTCATAGCACAACAGGCAAGAAGGAATGATTTAAAAAGCAAGGTGTGCTCCCCCCAGCCTGAAGGTGTAAGTTAGGCCTGGTGACAATGCCCAGAGTCAACCAAGAGTGTAGATTTCCAGTCAAGTCCCTTGTGAGGAGGCAGCTCTGAGGGCAAACCTGAAGAATCAAGACTTTAGGTGATGGTCAATATCCAGATTGATGGGATGCCTGTCCAGAGAAAGGCATGACTGCCATTGCAGCAAAGTTCAGATGGAGACAGCACAGGAGAGTGCAGACGGCCAAGTGAAGAAGTGGGCATGTGCACTAAGGCTGCTCCTTGCCTTTCCTCAAAGAGCCTCAGGCCTGACAAGTTTTCTCAAACAGATTTCTCTTATCAAAGAATCAAGATAGAACAGGGAGCTGAACTTGAACCTGTGGGGACAGTACAGGTCAGGCCAGGCCCTGACAGTGACATGTAGGACTCTCCCAACAGCACTTCCATCAGCTTTCACAGCTGTGAGATTTTTCTCCTTGTTTGCTACAGCTGAGGTTTTCCATTATCCTCTGGCTTTTTCCCCTCTTCTGCCTCCCTTTTCTCACTGTATACTCCTATTCAGTCATTTCACTTTTCTTTTTTTTTTTTTTTCAATTATTTCCCTTTCCTTATATATCACCAACATGCATTCCTGTGTCTGTTCTTTCATAAACTGTTGTTCTCCAGTCTTATGTACATCGAAGTATGCAGAAGGAGAGAAAATGTCATATTATCTAACTGTATCCAGGTAGATGTTAGGGGTGTATCCTAAGATAGTCATCTGGCTTCCTTTGCAGCCAACAGAGAAAAGGACAAATAACTCTGGAGAATGCTTCAGTTCATCCTAAAACAGATACCTAAAACAAAAGGCGTACTCATTAGGTCCCTAGCCTGTTCCATGGACTGAAAATACACACCTAGATTATGAAAAAAACTAAATTTAAATTACATAAAACCTGTCTCTATATAAGATCTTCTCAGCGATTTACAGCTTACTCCAGTTTGTAGAATAGAACAAATGTTTTCTCTCACTTGAATTGGACTAGAGGGCTTTGGATGCACTTTATTTCTTGAGGAGAGATCTGAAATTAGTGCTCATATTGCCAGACTCTGGCAGAATAAAGAACCACCAGTCCTAGCCATCCTATTATTAGCTTTATAGACTCAAAAATGCTTTGATATCTTCAGGAGGTATATGCAAGGTGGTTCCATAAACCAGAATGAACCATGGAGGGACAAGTCTTCTCATAGCAAGCTGGATTTTCAATGAGTAATTCATAACACTGTGCAACAGTTATTGCTTGAAAAAACAGAGAAATGAAGAAAATGAGAAAGCCCATGGGAATACAGTCATGTAGATGACTTGGATGACTATTGGTGTTTTAGCACTAGTCCTGTGAACGATTTTCTAGTAGGTTAGGTGGGAGATGGAGTATGTTATTAGTGCTAACCTTAATATGAATTTTTCTTTCTTGATTTTTTTCTGTCTCTTCAGACCTGTGACCAGGAGCTGAGAACAGGTGCAAAGAAAGAACGATGCCTTCAGGGGAAAAGCCTACTTCTGTGTGCACTTCTTCTCAGTGCTCTCCTTGGCTTTACATTGCTTATCACCTACCTCATGATGACTTGTGCTCTAGGTATAATATATTTTCCATTCTTCCTCATCCACCCCATTTTTAAGATCCCTTTCTCTCTTACCTGCCTCCAATGTGTTTTAAGCTTAACATCAGTATTAAGAAACAGACTTTCAGACTTTCCAGGAATCATAATACCTTTTGTCAAAAAGGTACATTTGTTTTCCTCTTCCTTAAGTCACAGTGGGGAGAGATCCTCCACATCTGTCCTTCTCTGCCTGATATTTAATATGCCTGAGCCCAGTTTGAGGCAGAAAATATTATATTGTTTTGCACCTCATCAATGTATTGTGCTCTATCTATAGTCAAGAAACTGAACTAGATCTGAGACTTGGAGCACCTCATTTGCCTTTCCATATCTGACAAGTCTAGTCCTGGTTTTCTAGCACAAATCAGTGCAGTCATAGAGTAAAAGCAAAAGTCAGAGTTTCTTGCTAATGGAGAAGCTGTGATTATAGACTACAAACATTAATTTGCCTTCCAAATTCGCTAAAGAACTATCTGCAGAATGGTCCATGTGAATATCTCAGCATATAGAAAGCTCAATACAGAAGGTACATTTATATTGGTGGATACAGACATTCCCTGCCCAAAAATAAGCACTGTTGGATCTTTACCTAGCTGTTTTCTTTACTTTTTGTTGTATGTTAGAGACTGCAGAGACCAAGGAAAATCTGTTTAGATCTAGTCCATTTCTACTCTGCCTACCTTCTCCCATGTCAACTTTGAAACCATAGTATGGGAAGTCTTACCTTGATTTGCACGTGGATTATTTCAGTAAATAATTGATCTGATCTGATGTTGATGTAAGATACCGGACTAAAATGACAATGTATACCCAGAAATTTGAATGAGTTTAGAAAAAGAAAATTATAGACCAAAGCAAGATATTCTAGAAATATCCTTGTCCTCTTTTGACAAATGTCATGCTGAAAAATGTTTCCCATGCTTGAAAAAAACATGTTTTAATCTTATCTCATTTCTTGCTTGGTGCTCTGTCCTTCTCTTGCATCATGTATTGACACCATCAGTTTCTTCTTGTTTATCATGTGGCCAAATTTGGCTGATTCAGAGGAAAGATATTGAGAAGGCAGAATAATCCAACCTGTGGCTGCCTAGATATTACAAACAGAGGACAATCTTCCTGGGATGTGAAAGAGAAAACTCACTTCCTCCATATTCAGCAATACCTTACAACGAATTCAACACTGCATGCAAAGGAGCTTGTACCAAAAATAAGTCTTTTGGGGTAAATGCCCCCTAAAAGATCTTTGTTTGGAGTTGTTCTCACTCTCCACTGTTGCTTCTCAGTTCTCTCTTATTTACTTCCTCTTCAGGATCCTGTGATGCTGAGTCAGATCCTGCTCTATTGGCAAGACTTCTGAATTCTAGGAATGACACTGTAAACCCCTGTGAGAACTTCTACAAATATGCCTGTGGCAGATGGGAAGGCAAACAGTCAAGCAGAACCAGAGAAGAATCACTAAATGTATTTGATGTGTTGTTGGAAGAAAACCTGTTGATCCTGAAAAGGCTTTTAGGTAGGGTCAGATGATTGGTGTGTTACCTTCGGCATCTGCCTCGGTCAGATCTGACAATAGTAGTGACAATCATTCCTAACAGGGGCTGAGTCCCTTCTCTTCGTTCTTCTATCATTACAGGTACAGATTTATTTTTTGAGCATGTCATGTTACAGTAGCTGCATTTTAAACATTTTAGTTATTCTTGCCAAGTGTAACAGATGAAAGTCACACTTTAAATTCTGACAGCAACTCAGACCATTTTCCTGTTGCCTTGTCAAAGTAGGCCATTGCTGCTGTGCTAGTCTGAATGTGCACTCTGGTGATGTGTCCTGTCTCCATGGGGGACTGAAGCCTAGATATGCACTAACTTCCTGTTGTGCTCCTGTTTCCATGCAAAGAAACTCACATATTTGGTCTCAGGAAGAGTCATGGCACTAGAAGGTCACTGTGGGAAATGTGGATGTTTTTGTTAACATGTTCTGGATCAAAGTGCAGTATTTTCTTAAAACTCTTCTCTGCTCTACTGCTGTCCCAACTTCTTTTTAAGTAGTTTTTTTGGGTTTTTTTTTTCAATTTTAAATCTACTTTTTTCCTCAGAAAGTCCACAGTTTGGGATAAGAGGTTCAGCCAAGGAGAAAGCAATCCGATTTTATCGTTCCTGCATGGATACTGAACAAATAGAATCCCAAGGAGCTCAGCCACTGAAGGACCTCCTAAATCAGGTGAATGTTTGTGCTGTGTCCTCTCCCTCAGGAAGAGAACTCCTGCAGGGAGAAGGAAAGTGAGTAGGTGGGGTCATATAGTCCTACATGATGTAACTTTTGTAGAATCTGACCCTAGTCATGGTTCACAGCACAACTTCCTAGTGATAAATCTTCTAGCTTTAAATGCTGTTTCAAGAACTGATTTTTTGACATTGGGAACCTGAATCTCTCCTCATAACCTTATATATTACTGACAGATGGTAAAAAACCAAGTCTGTAGAGAGAGATCATGTTTAATCTCAGAAGTCTGGTTCAGCAGGATCTGACTCACAGATTGGGGAGCATCTTGCAAATGGATGAAATTTTTGTGTCTAAAACCAGGTGATCATTCAGTAGTTAAGGCTTCCAGGAGAGCTTGTTTAAAGGAGAAAATCCTTCTCTTTCCATTCTGGGAGACTCCTCTTGATGCCAGGGAGGGCTGGACATCTTCCTTCCAGCAAAGAGCATTTATGCCCTGTGTCAAAGGAGGATGCAGAACCTTCCAGCAAAAAAAAAGAATAGTGACTACAGGCCTACCTGTGAATCTGCTGGGCAAGGAGGTGGGACCAGTAATCACTGATCCCTGTTTGTCCTCCTGCATAGCTTTAGAAAAATGAGACCTATTTCCTGTCTCCTGCTTATCCAGCATTTTTTCCTGCACATCTTGCTCTGTTGCTAATTACAATTCATTTTCCCTTTGTCATTTTGCAGCTCATTGCTTTGCTTAAGGGAAAGTGTCAGGTCATTTTAAAGCCAGTAGGGTATGTAGAATATTTCACAAGTTTCCCTTGGTGCTTTTTGCTGTGTTGCTTCTCAGTTACCAGAATGACTGAGGTTATAGGTGTAAAAGAAAAAAAAATGTAAGTATGGATCAAACCAGATTTTCTCACTTGCAGCATTTCTGTCTTTCTCTAGGTTGGTGGCTGGCATAACACAGATGTAGGGGAAACAAAAGATTTTAATGAAACTCTTCAGATTCTCATGAGTAGATACAGCACCTTTCCGTTTTTTAGAGTCCATGTGGGACCTACTCCTTTTGACCCCAAGACCAATATTATTCAGGTGAGTGTGCTAAAGAAAGAGCATTATCAAGGAAGCACTGTGAGTAAAGAGTCAGACCAAGGCTTGCTCAAGTTAAGCCTGTGTCCTTCTCTGAAGAACTGAGCAAACATTTTTCAAAAGTAAAAGCACGTTAATAGCATTTCTAATTCCATGATACAGAATATACCAAAATATCCTTACGTTTGCATTTCTGAAAACAGTCAGTTTTTTCTTTACTCCTTTTTGCAGATTGACCATCCTGAGTTTGATATTCCACTTGAGAGTGAATTCAAAGAGAAAAATTATCTTGAGGTAACATATCAGAGGCTGAAGAAAGGTAAAAATAGCTATTTGATGCAGGGATCTCCTTGAATTGCCTCCTGGTTCAGAGTGGTCTGTTTCCATGGGTTACGGTCAGTGACCTCTGAAAATGCCTTCAGAAAGAATTCTTCATGAAACTCAGCTTTTCCAAAGGATAGATTGTAAAATGTAACCCATTTTGCCTGCCAGGTTTAAAACTTCTAGTTTAGAATGTTATAATTATAATTTTAATTTTTGTTTGCTAAGTAGTCTGAACCTGGGCTTCCTTTTATTTTTTGCCTTGAATGAATGTTTTATAAAAAATGTTTTTGTCAAAAATAAGGCTTTATAACAAAATTTGTGTACTGCAGGGAGGGATAGCTAGAATTTTTCAGCTTATTTTAAAGTGTTTGAACATACGTTGGGGGAAGTTGTTTGACCTTGGGACATTGTAACAAAATGAACTTTGTCATTTCTGAACTTCATAAAAACTGAGTTATCTGAGCCTTTCAGAAAAATCCTCAAAATAACTCCTGAGCTATCATAAGCATTCCTCTGAAACCTCATGAAGATAGAAACAAGAAGTTGACATTTTCTGTCCATTAAAATACTGGCTCATTATATCACTGAATTTCTCTCCTCTGACTCCAGAGATTGCAGTCCTACATCTCTAAAGTTATTCTAGTATTTTAAGTAATTGTGAGTTGTGAGAAGAAGAATCATTTGGGAATTCATTGTTCATCACTGAGATTTGCCAATACATTGTTCTTCACTTTGCCAGCTGTACATGGCAAAGGGTATTTCACATGAGCAGTTACATAAGGGTGTTGCAGCAAGAAGAGACTTTTAGAGATGGGGCTGGTCAGCAGTAGTTTTGAAAGACTGAAGTTTATATGGTCAGAATGGATGGATGGATGGATGGATGGATGGATGGATGGATGGATGGATGGATGGATGGATGGATGGATGGAGTGACTAATTTTTGGTCATGTATCTTCCACTGAAGATATGCTCTGTATTGCAGGTTCTCCGTGTGTATCTTTCGTATTTGAAGAAATTGGGAGTCCTACTTGGAAGGACAGAGGATGGTCCCCCTGACTCATTTTCCTTGACCTTGTCCTTCATCTCTAACCTCCAGCGATTTGTCACTCCACTACAGAAAAGACAGCAGAGGGGGATGCTGTTCTTTCACACTACCATTAGGGAGCTACAGGTACCCGTGCCTTAAAGCTTGAGCAACACACTTACATGTGACATTCATGTTTCATTCTGAAGATCCAGATCAAAAGAGATATGAGATGCTGTGTTTAAATGCCATTGTCTTGCAAATTACACTTGGAGCCTGTTGAGCTTTAAATAACCCAATAACTTACAGTCCTTTACTGACAGAGGTTTTTCAGGCCCACAGCTCTCTCCCCTCCCCAGTGCTAATTCTCTTTTAAAAAGTCAGTTCTCCTTTTCAAGATGCATATTATAAAAACAATTTAACTTGTGGAAAGTATCTCTTAACATTATTGGGAAGACTATCCTGGTTTCCCTATTATTTCTTGTGAGCCAGTTTAGATTCATAGTTCAGCACGTAAGCTTTGTTTTGCTTGCAGGAAAAGGCACCTGCTATTGACTGGCTGGCTTGTCTCAAGGCTGTCTTCCATCCTGTGCCAATGAACCTCTCTCAGCCAATTGCAGTGCATGACATGGATTACTTAAGCAACATGTCACAGCTCATTGAGAAATGGCACAAGGGAAGGTAGGAGTCTATATCTATGGTTGCAGTTGTTCATGCCCCAAGAAATATTTTCTTCAAATACCGTAAGTTTAATAGATTAGAGGCTGCTGTGTTAGAGGCCGCTGAATCCAGTAGTCACAGCAAGGCTGATGTGGCTATATAGCCACAGGTTTGTCTGGTGCTATGGCTTAGCATATATTCCCAATAGGTTTGCACATGCATGCACCATGTATGAACACACATATAAAAGAATATATTTATGTGTGTCACACAGAGAGTGAACATAGTGTCTTGACGGACACCCATCCACCCACAGCACTCATACCAACATGAACACAGACTGATTCTATTCCTCAGCTCCAGACGATCAGGATTGGTCTATACTATTGAAATACGTGTGTGCACACACATGATGTGCCTCACTCCAATAGCTGGTCTTAGGTATTCAGTCTGTCAAGAAGCTGGCCAAGATCTCCTAGTGTCCAATTGGATGTATCACATGAATATATGATTCCCCGAGTCTTGCAGCCCTACTTTGGTTGCTGATACTCTGGTGTCTTCCTGTTACAAACACACCTATACTACCAGGTCTCTTCAGTAGCTCCTCCCAACCACTCGTATTCCAAATAGCCAGCTCTCAGACTGCTGCTCTATCCAGAAGCTAGCTGGATCCAAAGTCCCTCCAGTAGTCAACTATCAGACTTGTAATCTCTCCAGCATTCAGTTCCATCTTCACACACAGTGAGTAGAATGTTACTTAACAATAGTATTTAATAAGTTAGGCGGACAAATCCTGGTTACCATGTGCAGGGCTCAGTCAGGTGACACCCTGGCAAACACAAGTTTACACTCAATCATTCCCTCTTATCAGCTTTCCTCTCCATTTTCCCACATATATTCTCCCAATCCACTATGATCCTTCCCTTTCCTTGCCTTTGATCCTTCCCATAAACATATCATCATAAATCTTACGTAATCCCACAGACATCTCATAATATTCTATATGTTTCACCTAGTCCTAAAAGGTATCCTTCTCCAACTTCCCATAAAGAATCCTGTGCCCCAGCAGCGAGTTACCCCTTAAGTCTCCACAGTGTTTTGGGGAGTTTCTGTATTTGACTCATGTCAGTGATCCCTCTTTGATAGCCCCAGGTGTATTCTGTTCAGAGTTCTTTGTTGTCATTGTTCAGGTTCCTAGGATTTCTCTGCCTCAAGTTACTACTCTTGACACTTGCCTCGCTTCTGTGTTTATGGTTACCAGCCTTCAATCTTCTGTCTGCAGGGTCCTTCACATTTATATGATTGTTTGTCTGGTTGGGAATCTCTCCCCAGCCCTTGACAGTCAATTCCAAGATGCACGCCTGGAGCTGTATAAGATCCTTTATGGAAAAATGGGATCTAGAATGGTAAGTTAGCCTTTCATCAGTTTCTTCAGCCTCCCCAACAGCTGAACACTGTAGCTCATGCCTTCTGAATGTTCTTGTGATACCTTAAATGAATGCAGTTTCTTAGATCTGGGGAGAAAAACTACTCTCTCATGGTATTTAGTGCTTATTTTTTCTCAAAAGAAAGGTGTGAGTAGATATGACCCTCAGAAGTTTAGAGAGCTGAGTGTCTTGTACTGTTTCATAGAGTAGGGAAAAATATGTAGATGGTCACCTTTCTTCTATGGCTTTTTCTCTGCTAATATACAAATCTGCGTCTTGATGGAAAGCAAGTGAACTAAATCATAAGGAAATAAATATTTTACTAGAAATGTTTATTGGGCTAGCTTAAATAGAACTACATTACTTCTCCACTGCTGTCAATTTTAGACAATGCTACTGTCCACACATCTACATATCATTTTACTGATTTCCTAGTCCTTTGTTCTCACTCTCATGTGTCTACTTCTTTGTTCCTATAGATCCCAGCTGAACGCTGGAGGAAGTGCTTGACTGATACCAGCTCTTTCTTTGAGCCAGTTCTAGGGAAGATGATTGTGCAAGAAATTTTCCCTGAGCAGACCAAGAAATTTGTAGGTATTCATCTCTTAACCCCTAAGCAGAATTCAGCTTCCCCTCTTTCTTTTTTTTGACATGCCACCTTAAGACCACATCAGGGCAGCAAAATCATCTGTAGGTTTCCTACCTTTTGTTCCTCTGCTTATGCATGTCCCCTCCTTTTTTGAAAATATGTCAGAACAGACATTGGTGTCATTTTAGAATAATCACTGCTAAATGCCAGCTGTTATCTTTGTCTCAACTGTTAGAAAAGTCATATGTGCAGCACCAATAGCTATGACAGCCCTACAAATGCATGCAATCTCTGTATACTCCCTGGAATAACAGTGTTAACAGTATTCATCACCAATGAGACATATCCCAGTAAGATTTTCAATTGCAAAGAGACTAAACAATCATATGAAAACATTCTGAGCGGGTCCATGGTGAAAAGAACACTTGCCTGCAGTGTGGAAAAGATTCCTGTTTTTTTCATGCTGTGATGGTCAGAGTTCCTTTTTTTTTTTTTTTTTTTGAGGAAAGTTAGTGTAGCACCTGTTTAGCAGAGTTTGAAGTCTATAAGGTGGCAAGAGTAAATAACACAGAGAAAAGCTAATCAGAAAACCAAGACTACATGTAGGGAAGCATATATTTTAATGAATAAAGCATAATTTTGGGAAGGGTTGACTCAGCTTGCCATAATTTTGGAAAGGGAGACACCAGCAAGAAATACTTGTGGATACTGAATTTTCATTTTGCTCAAGTGGGGGACAATTATTCAATATTGAATGAGAAGGAATTGTCTCCCTCTTAGTTACTGTGAGAGGCCAGATGAAAAGGTGTGTGGGAGAGAATGGTGAGAGAATGGTGAGGAAAAACTGGAAGCCAGATAGCTTAAAGTTAAATCACTGTAGAAAATAAAATCTTCTCTTTCATCACACACAAAAAAATAGAATTTTCCCCCAGTTATTCTGTGGTTGAATTGCTAGAACATGGGAAGATGATAGCTAAGAGTGAGCAATATTTTTGTGCAGTTGTGACCATGCCTTCTTTTCTCCATGGCAGGCTGAGAAGATGTTCTCTGTGATCCAAGATGCCCTCTGTGACCGCCTGGATCAGGTGGAGTGGATGGATGAACAGACTCGGCGAAATGCTAAAGCCTTGGTGCGTGCAGAAGGCAGAAATTACTGAGGCCTTCCTTTCCCTGAAGCTTCTGCAGAAGGAATGGAAGAGACCTACACCTTTATTCATTCCTACCTGCTTCTACAGACACACAGTCTTAAATAGATGTCTTATTCATACTAAAAATTGAAGGTGGTTTTATGAGTGCCAGCATTCATGGGTACATACCCTGATGGGTAGACATAGAGCGGCTCAGTTTTTATCTGTCCATGAATACTCTGAATTAACTTTTTTTGAGATACAGTTCAATTCTATACATCTAGTAAGGTTAAAAGCGAAAAAGCTGAATGGCAGAAGACAATACAAAGAAAAAGATTAGAACAACATTAGGCCTCAGGATGTAGAGTTGAGAAAGCAGAGCAGCAGAACAAGATGTCTTCCTGAAACAGAGTAGCTGTCCTTTGGAAGGGCTGACTCACAGATCATGCTTGCACTGGTTAGAAATAGCCTTTAAAAGGACTTGCCAAATGTAAAGCCTCAGAAACAGATCAAGTTTCTTTATGTTTCTTTGTTTGTTTATTATTATTTTAGGTATCCAAACTACAAGTGGAGATTGGTTATCCAGCTCACATGCTCCAGACTGACAAAGTGAACCTGGAATACCAGAATGTGAGCTATATAATGTAAACATGCCTGCCTCATTATTGGAAGTTTACCTGTATCAACTGCTGTCTTGTCTGCTTACAAAAGAGGCTATGACCACTGGAGCACATTTCCTATATTTCCATTTTTTGGGAACATATGGGACCACAGAACATTTATCTGTTGCTTCTATATTGTTGCCTATACTGTCTCCTATTTAGAGTGGCTGGCCTGATAAAAGTAATTTTTTACCTGTTTATATTCTGTTTGGCTTTCAGATAACATTCCTGTCATATCTTAAATGGAAGGTTTTTAGAAATGGGAGGGAAAAAAACCTACAAGTATCCCATTGGTTTCTCTTTTGATTAACCTTTTTTTGATCCATGGAACTTTTCTTTTTCTCTTTTTTTTTTTTCTCAATTGTTCAATTCATTCTTCATTTATGCCCTATGACAGTCACATTCCCTGTCTCTTCCCTCAGCTGGAAATAAAGGAAGATACTTTTTTCCTCAATGTGGTGGCTTGCTTGAAAGTACAGAGGGAAAATTCCTACCTGAAGCTCCTTCAGCATAACCCACAGAAAAGGTAAGTCAGATTGTGATCTGAAAAATATAACCAAACTACATGCTTGTGAACCAGCTGAGGTTGGAAGAGACCTGTGGAGATCACCTAGTTCAATCCTCCTGCTCAAAGCAGGATTAGTTAGAGCAGGTCACTCAGAACTGTGATAACTATATGTCTGTATCTCTCCTTCACTGAGGAAGAGGAGGAAGGGCAGGTGGGAGCCAGTGGGCAGAACTGGATTCAGTAGCTCTGAAAGTGGTTTCACCGGTTCTCAGTGTTTCTGCACGTCTGCATCTCTGCATCCTGCTTTAAAGAAATCTTGAATCTGGCAGGCTGAGCCTTAGCAATGCTACCAAAGTAGCCACGATTGTGAAGAGAGCACCAGACCCCTGAAAAAAACCCACTTTTTTGACCATGCACCCTTAATTAAGGGGTGTAGCTGATTCTCCTGGACTTCTTAACCAAGCCAACAGCAAGGCACTGTGATGACAGGAATGCTGGTGGAGTCACCTCAAAGGCAGGACATAGGATGCTTCAGAAGGAAGGCAGCATTGACAGATGGGCTTAAGGCCTTACAGCTCCTGCAGAGTATTCTATGCACAACTTCACAGGAGGTTACTAATCCCTGTCAGAATCTGTGGTATTGATGATTCCGAGATTGTAGAAAGTCTCTGTCTTTCAGCCCCGCTGCCAAAGAAGAAGCCATAATTCGTCTGTGCTGTTTTCAAGGTTGTTTATTCTTGCTTATCTCTAACATGTTCTGCTGCCCTGACACAGGTCTGTCCTGCAGGGCAGCATGTGGGGCTCTGCCCCCAGTGGGATGGTACAAACATTATATACCAGAAACTACGTGTACTATATTTACAATAATGTGCCAATATCTATCATCTACGTTGAACAGTGTGTCCCCAGCCTAAACCAATAGAAAAATGCCAACACTGCAGTGAAACATGGAGGGCATGAAGAAGGAGGAAAAGGACAAGACACACCCAATTTCCTCCATCTTGTCCCCTCTGAACCCCTAATCTAGAAATCTAAAATTTTACTTTTGCACCCGTGTCACACTTAATTATTACTCTTATCAAACACTCAAAGCTTGTAATTCATCCTGTAAGATTGAAAACTCCTCTCCATGGACAGAGATCACAGACAGTGTCTCTCGGGGCTCTGTCCAGGGGGGTTCCTGACCCCCTGCCAGGGTCCCAGACCTGCCAGGGCAGCCGGAGGGAAGCCCTGGATTCCCACAATCCTGATTTACTTGACAGGGAAATTGTGAGGGAGAATGTCTATGAAAACTAAGCTATTAGTTCTGACCATCTGTAAAAAATTGAAGATTTATTTCAAACACCTATAACTCTAGAGAATGTGAATTTCATAATTTGCTGATGCTGTGTGAGCAGCTGAGCTATTTTTGCAAGCTCAGTGAAGGATCAAAGTGTGAGATAAGGAATTAATACAGTCTCTAATTTCTCTTTTTATTTTGCTTCTAGCTGGCATGTGCACCCCTGGAGTGTGCATTCTTACTATTCAATAAGGCACCACATGGTGGTCTTTCCAGCTGGAATGTTCCGCAGTCCTTTTTTCCACATGGAGTTTCCCAGGTATGGAGGGGCTTCAGAGGTGCAAGCTGAATGTATTCCCTGGGCTGCACCATGCTTCCACAAGGAATCTTAGCAGGTGGTCTGTCCTTAATTCTCACTGCATCCCAGAAAGACACAGGAAAGGGGGGAAGCCCAGCTTTTTCTAAGCCAGATGGATACTGCTTGATGCATTCTGAGAGAGTGATCACTGACTCTGCTGAAGCAAAATCAGAATCTAGGTGAAACTGAACTAACACAAAGATATTACTCCAGAGCTAAGAGAAAGAAGTCACGTGTAGGTTAACTGCAAAGAAGACATTCCACCTTTGTCTCTCATTTTCTAAATTCCAAGGATTCCTGAAATCTAAGCCAGAAAAAATAGGAGTCTCACATAGCAACTTCTTGTTAGAAGTATTTTTCAAATGTATCACAGTTCTTTTCTTTTTAAGAAACCCTTTCTACTAAGCAAATAGATTTTTAACTCTGAGTCTTACCCTGCAATAACAACGCTTCTCTAGACCATACTCCACTTGTTCTATTCTTTCATCATATGGAACAGATCTCTTAAGCAATATTTTTTCTGATAATAAAAGCACTCCAAGCAGTTGACTGTAAACATATAATTCTATGTTCTTTTTGCATATAGTGGAGATATACTTGTCCTAATACCATGGTACTGAAAAATAAGCTCACATTGTGGCAAGAGGCTGAAGTTCAAAAGAAACATGTTTCAGTTAAAACTAATTATTTTCTCGATGGTGATCTTCTAGTGCTTGCATCATTTAATTAATGTATTATGGTATGTAGGAGAGGATATTCTCAAAAGAATAGTAGGAAAGAATTTTTTTTCCAGTAGTATGGGCTGTCATTGTCTTCTTTCTCTGTGAAAAAGTATCTATGCCTTCTTATTCCTTTTGTATTCAGTGTTAGTAAAGTACATTTTTCTCACTGTCACCTCAGCTGTGTACACTGATAAGTAAAACTTGATCAGTTTTTGATGAGTACAATAGCATTTTCTCAGATGATGCTCCTGAGTTTAAACTCTACTGGCAAAAGCCAGTTCAGGTGACTGTCAGGATAATTTTTTAATTTTTAAAATAAGATCTCAGCAAAGCAGTACAATTGTTATAGAATCATAAAAAAGTTTGGGTTGGAAAGAATCTTTAAAGATTGTCTAGTTCCACCCTCCTGCCAGGGGCAGGGACCCCTTCCACTAGACCAGGTTGCTCAGAGCTCCATCCAGCCTGGCCCTGAACACTTTCAAGGGTGGGGCATCCACAGCTTCTCTGGGTAAAATTTATAAATTGTCAGCTATAGAACTCCTACTGAGTTCCCAGTGATGGAATAATGATCTAGTATGAAAATGTCATGCTTCAGCAGTGTTAATCAGTGCATGGGAAGAAAGAATGAGCCTGTAATTTCATATAATGGAAATGCATTTTGAGTGTTCTCTTCCTTGTGGGAATATCTGTAAATTCATTGCATAGAACCATAGAAATTCCATTTGAAAATAACTGCTGGAGGTCTATTTGTAGCAAGATTGCCAATGCTAGACTGTTGGAAGGGTCTGTATCCACCCAAACTGTCCTGGAGCCCTCAAACATCTTTACACTAGACCAGAGTAATTGCAGTCAAAACATCATGATTTTAACTTGCATTGCCAATTTTATGTATCCCTTCTCAACAAAAGTTGCAAGATTGCTTCTCCAAACATCCTGCTTTTGTATAGTTACCATTGTAGCTGTTGTTTGTGCAGCAGTTCAGACAGCAGAGGTTCAATAAGGACATATATCAACATCAGCAATACCTGTCATTACAGCTAACAAAGGCAGAATCTCATTCACAGATTCTTCATTGTTATGATGGCTTATTAGCAACAAATACTTTAAAGTAAGCCCATAGTACAATTTTAAGCATAAGTAGGATAATTTGCACTTGTATTTGCCCTTTTACATGCCCGAGTGACAATACATCGAAAGTGTTTCTTTGTAGTCCCAGAGTAGAATTCTCCTGTGGAGCACATGATTGTGCTCAGTGGCTATACAGAATGCTCATTTGCCCTCTTTTTCTTTCCAAAAGCACTCTTTTCATCTTTATTTTTCAGCGCTGTGAATTTTGGAGCCATCGGAGTCTTCATGGCACATGAAATTCTTCACGCATTCTATGGTTATGGTGGGTACTGGCTGTAGTGTCTTCATTTACTCTTCTAGGTCCCACTAGTACTTCCCCTTAGAGGATCTGAAATCCTAGTCCTTACATCAATATATGCATATTTTATTAAGGTAGATGAACTTAAGGAAAACATATTTCAGTCCATGCTGCCTACTAGGAATAATCAGTGATTAGTAAGAGGAAGACAGGTGAATAAATAACTGTACTTCTATGACTTTTCTTTCCTCCACAGTGTTGCCTGAGGGCTGTCCTGCATGCAACAGGAATGCACTACAAAGCTCTATAGACTGCTTGGTTGAGCAGTATGAAAGCTACAGCTTTAATGTCAATGGCACCTTCACACTGTTGGAGAATACAGCTGACACTGGAGGGCTCGCTGTCGCTTACCAGGTATTGTGATTTACTTCTGCAATCTCATAGTCTCACGATGTAACACACAAAATTGCCCTGCTGCTCTTCTCTCCCACGTCCTGCTACAATTCCATATTTCTTGCACACCTGTGCCAGTGGAGCATGAGCCCAGCATGTCCTCTGTTAGTCCAGAAAGAGGTTCCTCACAAAGCTTTGCTCATAGCCTCAATATGTCCATGTAAGACAATTTCTCCCCTTCACCACCTTTACTTCCCTGCTTATATCATGCATACAAAGCATACTGTTGTATATATGCTTATGTTATACTTGAGGAAGTAAGCTGAAGCATGAAACAGAATTTTGTGTGATGGTGAAATGACTCCATAACAATATTTTCTGCAGTACTTTAGAGAGAATTTTTTGTTTCCTCATGCAGTACTTCAGTGTAACTGCTGAGGGTGGTGTGAGATCCTTAGGTGTAAAATGGTGCTTGTTACATTCTTTCACGAAGAACACTGGGAGGCAAAAAGTCTTTAATTTATAGTCAAATATTTGTGATTTTTTTGTGAAAATAATTTTGCATGCTTTCATAATGTAATTACCACATCATATGACAATGTGTGTATTAGTATCTGCATCTGAAATGGTAAGGAAAGTAATTATGTTGTATTCTCCCACTTTAGATTTATTTAGGGCATGGCCAGCAGCAGAGAGCCACAGAATGAGGAGAGAGATACAAACTTGCTAATTTATTAAATATATATTAGATTGATAGATTTCATTGACAGAAGACATGAGCTTGTGATACTGTCTAAGGAAGATTTATAATTATTTATTTTATCTCTCCACAGGCCTATAAGAATTGGCTGAAAAAGCACAAAGAAGAGGATTTACCTAAGATTGGACTTTCACACGATCAACTTTTCTACCTCAGTTTTGCTCATGTAATGAATTCTAGTCATGTGTCTTTTTCACTCTCCATTTCTTCCACACCCTTACAGTTTGTCTTTCTCAATATTCAATCACTTTCCCCCCTCTTCAGAGAACTGAGAATGACCAATGATTCTCTGAGATCCAGAATCTTATTTAGAAGCTAAAAATCATATTTACAGCTGTTACGGATCTCAAAGTTAACAAAAGGCCTGTCTGCGAATATATTTTTATAAAGCACTGAAATCCACCAAAATTAAGTCATAGTGTCAGGGAAAGCAGGCTTCATTGCCAGCCTCTGAGTACTTTTTTGCTGTTATGAGCAAAATGGAAAGTGAAATCTAACCGTAAAAGTCATGTATCTGTCCCCCCCTTCCTTCATTCACTTCTCTGTCATGGTGCATAGCTGGATGTCACATCACTGATTGGCTGATAGTGAAAAAAGTGTTTCAAATGTTACTTAGAGACAAAGAACTAGAAGTACATGCACCCATAGTTTCCTGTTTCTGTGGGAAGCTGCATTAAATTGCACAGCTATGCATAGCTGTGCTGCCAAGTTCCTCATGATAGATGGTTGGATTTCTGTGCTCAAAAAATCACATCCTTTTAAGTCATGCAATTGTGCAAAGGGAGAAGTTTTGTGTTTTTATTAAGTGTGTTTATGAAGAGCAGTGCATGAAAGAAACAGCTTATTGGGCCTTGCTGGCAAGATTTGCATTTTAGAGGCTAAATGACAGCTGCTGCATCATTTATTGATAAAGAAGGACTGAAATCATGAGAATGAAGACTTGGATTGCCACTTTAACACCAGTAAAGTAATATCATTTTCCTCGAGTCTCTAGAGTAGTAATTGGATTTTGTGTAAGTGCTCTCCCCTGTTGATGAGCACTTGTTGGTTTCACTTAACAAGCTGAATCCAGGCAATGAGACATCTTTATCACTTTTTTAGATAGAGTCCAAGGATGCATGAGCCTAGTCAGGGTGGCCTAAATTTTCTGTGTTCTGGACTATGCAGTATAGAAAAAGAGCAGATGACTTGTCAGAGAGTGAAATGGCGACAGAGAAATTTAAGGGAAGAGAAAACAATCCAAAGAAAATCTGACTATTGTTGTCAGCCATGTATGCACATTTCCTTGTTTTCTCCAGTGCCCTCTGACATGTGCAGAGGCATGAGGAGCCCTAAGTCTTGTTCACATGAGGATTTTCAGCCAAACTGACTTTTCTATTTTGTTTCCCTTCAGGCAATGTGTGGACACCAGGATCCAGAGATGCTCCAGTCTTCCCTGAACACAGATCCACATAGTCCCTTGCCACTTCGTGTCTCTGGGCCTGTCAGCAATAGCCAGGACTTTTCCAAGAGCTTCCAATGTCCCAGTGGGTCTCCAATGAACCCAGAAAACAAATGTCGCATCTGGTAATGGGCATGGAAGAGCAGGAAGAGAGATGTGATCCCAGGGAGAGGAAGGCCTGACACGTGAAAATATGACCATCTTCTCAGAGCCTCTAGGGTGACATGGTGCTCTAATCCACTCCTTTGCCTTCCTTTTCTTGTCATCCTTTCCTCAGCATTTGATGGCAGGGAAATTATTAAACTGATCTCATGAGGAGGGGATCTCCTCCAAGGCTCTCAGTGCTCTGTCCCAGATGTGTGACAAGTCCCAGGGCAGCAAGGTAACTGGCCAGTTTCTGGTAGGCAACACTTGTGAGGAATCGTGAACAGAAAGACTGTTACATTATTAGTCCCTCTGTTTAGTGCATTTACCTGTCTGCTCCAGCAGCCTCACAGTCCCGTAGAAAGGGCAAGCCCATAAACTGGAGCTGTAAGACTTGTTAATATCTTTACAACAGCTCTTGGGGAAATCCTGTGGGTCACTGTGCAAACCACATGTAACTCACAAGAGAGGGAAGAATCCTCTTCGCTTCTTTTGCTAATAAATGGAGACAGGTGCTAGGAAAGACTCAGTGGTTACAGCTTGTAGGCTGAAAGGTAAATGACTTAATAGTGAAGTTTACTGGAGGCCTTCTCTGCCCTGTTTTTGTTTCATCAGCAAAACTCAGACATAAGAGGAAAGAGAAAAGCTCCCCCATTAACGGGAGGGTAACTGGGGAGCTGAGAACAGATTCTCTTTCTTTTCCAACAAGATCCTCTTTTTTTAAGTGTCTAGTGTTGAGGATATGGTAGAGGATGCAGTATGGGAGAGTCACAAAGGTTTCTAGAAGTTTCTGAAGGTTGAACAACTAGAATTTCCAAGAACTTCTCTGCATCCTGAACCTGGTTCTCTCCCTACATTTGTAAATATTTACCATCCAAGCAGAGACATAGAGATGTTGCAGGATTTTACTTTCCACTTGAAACTGAATTTTAGGTATTCATTTGCTTTAGAGCAAAAGCAGAGTAAGAAACAACATGATTTGGGGTAGCAGAAGTGCCTAAAGTACATTCTTAAGAGCAATATAGTAATTACATCTATTTCAGGGTCTCATAATTAAAAAATTTATACCAATGTTCTAAAATTTACTGAATACAAAATACTTAATACCATTTGCATACTCTTCAAACTGTTCTTGTTTATGGGAACATTTTTATTTTACTTATTATATTGGCTGCCTGGGGATTGTTTGTGGAATAGATGATGGCAAATGGAAACATCCCTTATCAATGTAAGCATTTTAAAACTAACTGTGTTAATCCTTTCCAAGTACTGACAAATACAGCAAAATGTTTCCCAGGAATGGACTGTTCAGAGATTTTGTTTTCATTAACTAACCAAAATAGTAATAAAGTATTTGATTGCAAACGCTTTATCATCAGGCCTGTATTTTTTTTCTGTATTTGTACTGTTCACAACTTGCCTGATGCTCTTAGCTGAACTTCACAAGTAATAAATAGGAATACCTCAAAATAATTTGATTTATTTACCATCATAAAAATAATAAAATTAGGCTCATACTTATCATTGCCATTTAAACAGTGTATACTCTTCCTTCCCTTCACTCATTCAATTATTTTCTCCTAGAAGCCTATCCAGACAGGCTTTTTTTTAAGATTCTAATAGCAAATAACATTGCGTAACACTAAGTGTATAATATAGACATTATTCCAGTGTTCTGAGACTATTTGGCCTCTGTGTTTATTGTTTTTAAAAAAAAGCAAAAGGTACAGACAATATGCACTTTTAGGAGTCTAACTTTTCTTGTATCTATCTTGTTAAGTGCATGGGTAGGTACAGTTCCCTGGAATATGCTTTATTTTTTCTTGTTCTTTCATTATATGTAGAATTTAATAATATTCTGTTTAAAAGACAGGGTCACTGGTGAAACTGGTGAGTTGAATTAATTCTTATTATTAATTATGATGGTATTACACAAAGAACATATGGGAAGTGCAAGAAGGGAAGGCTGGCTTAGAAAAAATTACTGAGAATTTATTGTGTTCCTCAAGAAGAAAGGAAAACACTTTCAGTATGTGCACAGGGTCCTTGCCCTCGTCTTCAGACGTGGTTGATGAAGAAAAGCTGTATTGTCCAGTAGGTAATCATGAAACACATGTAGATGTTCAAATTGTTGTCATTCATGGTCACAGAAATTATTGCAAGTTCTAGGTCATGCACTAAAAAAACCCCAAAAAACAATCCTGAGGAGAAGAGCCAGATCCAAGAGCAGATCCTTCACTGCTGAATTGCTCAGTGTCTCTGAGCCCTCATGCTCCACCATATCGATCACCTCCATTCCTTCCCCTGTTGATGAGGCCACAAATGACTCCTCCATTTCCTGCCAGCCTGTAAATGAGGGGAAAAGGAACAACATAAGCTTTATTCTTGTTCACTTATTTCATACTTGAAGCCTTTTTACCTCTGCATCTGTCCTGTTTTATTCTCCCTGCTTTCTAAACGGTCAAATTCTTTTCACCTTCACTGTATGTCATTTTTCTCCTTCATCCCAAGCAAATTTTCATTTGTACTTCTTTCTGCTCTCTGCTTCTCTTGTCCTTTTCTTGTTTCTGTGATTCTGATTTTGAAATATTTTCTTTTAGCATTCGCTTTTTCCTTACTCCGCTTTGCATCTCATGTTTTTCTCCTTTCCTGTATTTTCCATTACAAAAGTTACCCCAGATGATACATTCTTTTCTCTTTTCAGGGCCATGACTATAGCAGTAATAGGGTGTAATAGCCCTTAAAAGCATTGACTGGAGCCTTTATCTGAACTCCATGGGTTCGAGAGCTGCATTTAAGCTCTGGTTTGAGTCTCAGATCTCTATCTGTGGTCTGCTGCAAAGATACTTATCTCCAGCTCCGTCTCTATCACAGCTGTGTCTGGACCCTGCTATTGTGGATCCTGACCTGCAAACTGACCTCCTGGTTTGACCTTGAATGTGCCTTGTCACTACACACCTGCTTGGTAGTCATGGGACTGTGTCCAACTCTATTTTCTTTCATTATTTGGCCCTGGTCTCCAGGCGTGTCCTGGACCTTTTCTTTCAGATCTCTGTAGGGTGTGAGGGGACAGCTGAGACAGGAGGCTGCAGTCAGGGCTGTGGGTGATCTACAAGGCCTTTACATCTATGACTGGCCTGAACTTGTGTGTCCCTCATGTCCTCTGCCCCCTGTAAGAGTAGGGCTGGGCCATCACTGGACTGTGTCCAACCCTGGTCACCATCACTAGGTTTGGTCCTCACACTGACTGGTATTCCTCCTTGAACGTGGACTTGTCTCAACATCACAGAGCTCCCCGGTGATCTCTTGTCTGACCCTGACTGCCATCCCCAGGCCTGTCCTGTTGTGGCCTGTGCCACTGTCTGCCTTGCTACCCCACTCCTTTGCAGGATCCCTATTCCTTAGGGATCATCTGACCTCCACTTCCCCTTGATATATATTTTGTTGTTCCTCCTCTGATTTTCTTTTTACGAAAAGAAATTTCTTTTTCTTCTGTGTCCACACCTAATCTCATTCCCTGCCCTTAGCTGCTCTCCAAGCCCCTTATTTCTCATCCTCTCTCTTCAGCCCATCCTCTCACCTGCTGTTGGACTGCTTTCCTCCTCCTGTTCATTCTCGGCAGTGCGAATCATGCTCTGACTTTTCACTGGTACTGAGCAGTCAGTGGCTGGGATCAAACTCATCAGATAGATGGCAAATCCCAGGAAAATGATCAGGGTTGAATTAACACCCATCCTATTTTGCTGTCTAGCACAAGACACTTTTGCTCCTCGCTGCTTTTCAGTTATTGGAGTCTAGACATAACTACCACCAGGGTCTTGTTTGGGACACTTTGTGACATCATGACACCATCTGACATACAAAGGTGTTCCATGTTGTTAGGCAGAAACACTGGAGACCTTCACCCTATGTAGCTAAGAAGATCCCAAAGCAAGGAAAGAGTGTGAAAGCTTTTGGGAATAATTGAAAAAAAGTATGTCTTTGCTGAAAGGTAAAAAAGAGAATGAAGGGGGTAGGATTACAACAATAGGACATACCTAATGTGAAAAGAATCACAATCTTGAATATTTCTGCATCTGACGACTAACTGAAAACTGAACAAGAAGTGTTCTATAAAACTGCTAGAAGTGGAGTGGAAAATGTAATGAATTTCCCACTTCAGTGTTTAAGCAATGGTGATCTAACAACATCAATGTAGAAACAACTCATCTTGCAAAGTACCTATTCTAAGGAGAAAAAGACCAATCTCATGTCTTATTAACCCTTGCCATTGACTTTGACAGACCAAATTGCCCACTCTAATTAAATCTCTGTCCAGACTGCATTTTAGAACTCTGATAATGACTTTTCACCACGTGGCATAGAAGACAATTTTCTAGTTCTTTTCAAACTCCCACGTAAAGCCAACTATTATTTGCTGTACCAAATTTCTTTCACACTCCTGAAATTTACATACAGATTTATGTTAAGATCCCTTGGATTTTACTTTCATTTTGTTGGGTTTTGTGTTGATTTTCATTTGTGTAGGTTTTGTTTGGAGGGCTTTTTTTTTTCTGTAGTCTTGGAGGGTGGTTGTCGTTTCTTGTTTGTGGGGTTCTTTTCCCTTTTCTACTATTAGCAATAGTCCTTTCATTTAAGCTCTTCACATTTCTTTTCTAGATGCCCAAAAGTCAAGTTGAATAATTAGCTCATCAAATCAAGATAATAATTATCCTGGGCCTATGATGGTCTCTAAAGACTTAAGCATATGCAAGGATATATATATTCTGTGTTATAGGCGTTGAGATTTCTACACCAGGTCTTAGGTCAACTTCAGCTTGCTGTTGACATTCGGCAATCTCTTTTCCTGCTTATCTTGAAAAGATTTTACATTCAGCACAGAAAATGCTCATTAGAAATATATTTCAAGAGGTTATAAGATCAATTTTGCATAAATAGAGTGGAATTGTTGAATGTTACATTCAATAAATAAATAATGTGTTTGGCTGTAAAATAAATTTCCACTCTAGTGGCTCCTACTGAATGGTGTAATAATACAGTGTCAGGAGGTATATACTCCAACACAGGAGTAGGACAGATGCTTCAACAGATCTGCATCAGAAAGGGTAAGAGGGAATGAGACAGTGGAATTTTCAGTCCTGCAGAGCAATTAGTAAAGCAACTTCAAGGGGCTGTTCCCTACATCTCTGCATCTGAAGTAATCTGTACCCAAATCAGCGCAAAATTGTATTTCAAAGGTGTTCTGCATTCCTCACAGGGAGTGTGGGATACTTTCAAATCCTCACCTGCACCTCTGAAATTCTTTATTTCACTGAAGTAGGTGAGTAAGTAGATGCTAGATGTGAAAACTCTTACTATGACTGAGGCATGATGACATATTCATTCTGGCATATGCTCACACTCCTGCTTCAGCAAAGGTTCCTGCCGCTGGATGCTTGCTCCTACATCTTTTCCTTTGCTGACACTAGTGCTTGTGTGGCTCAGTTAATGGGGTGTATTAGGTGACAAAAACATTTTAAACACGGGTTTTATTAGGTCACTTTACTATTGGGTGAGTTTTCGATGCAGTTAAGTGTGCAGTCACACAAATACTATTCTGCAGTGAGCCAGCAGAAACAAAGGATGGGGCAGGACAGAGGAAGGCTGGACTGCCCTTTACTGAGTGACAGACACTCCAAATTCAAAAGAAGCCATGGCCTTGAAAAGAAACAGTGACTACGCAATCCTTGCTGCGTACAGAGAGTTCTGACTCCTGTTTTGCTTTGTTTGTGGTTATATATGTTCCCTGGCAAAGTATATAAAATTAAAATAGAAAAAAGGTGAAATACAAAATGAGACTATTTAAGCTTTGAAAATAAAGTTTTAAGCTTAAAAAAAAAAAGACTTAAGCACTACTCTTTAAACACCACTCCATTTCTGAAGAGTTCTTAAAATCAAACTGCAAAAACTTTTTAAAAAAGAAAAATAAATATGGAGAACCAGACTGTCTGCCTAATGGTTTTTTTTTCTCAGTGAGACTGACAGTAATAGAATATTTATCTGACCATCTCAGACCTTGTATACAGATTTCTCCGGCTGGTCTCTGTTTTGCATCTGTGAATGGAAGTATGTGTGAAAATTTCAATTTGTTTGCATCTCGCACAATAGAGAAAAAAAAGGTTGAAAGAATTAAATTAATAATTACTTCCCCCTCTCCCCCCTGCTTAATCTCTGTTTCCAGAATTAAATCACCCTTTGCCAGCATTGCCAGCCCATTGATTGTACTATCTATCCTCAATAAACTGTTTTGTTTTAAATGTTATTGGATATTGGACCTAAGTTGGACGTATTTAAAACTCTTTTTTCACTTTGGCTCTCCTGGCCTG